GTGAATCTGTCGGGATTCAGCTGTGTCTCAATCCTTCTCCCAGCAGGAAACTGCCCTTCGCCCCCTGTCCTGACCCAGCAAGGAGAAGCCGAGGCTGTAAAACACATGTTGGGATTCAGTGGAGTTTTCAGCCATGTACCAGTGTTACAGGAGTAACCAAAGTAGGGGGATGGACAGATGGGCAAAGGGAGGAAGGATGGACGGGCAGGGCTGGAAACTGATGCCTCTCACAGCGCTCGCATGGATGGAGAAACTGGATTTGTCTCTCCTGTTTATTGACTTCACTCTTCGCACCATCCTGATCAAGTCCTCTCTTCCCACTTTCCTTAAAAGAATTCTTCCAGTAAAAAAAAAAATAAATACAGAAAACAAATAAAACCCCACCCAGCTCATGCTAAAAAGCATAATATTACATTTTAAATCCTAATTTTCTGGCTAATGGGGTCCCTGGCTGGCTGGAGCAAACAAGCAGCCCCTTGTACAAGAAAACAAAAAGCGGCACTTTAATAAGAGAGCGCCCGGCAGCCGCGTTCTCCCCCACTGCCATCCCTCAGAGAGCGTTTGGTGGGAAAGAAATGAAGGAACCGGAGTAAGATGTTGCTGATGGATTGACAGCAGTGAAATAAATGTTGGAGCTTTGCCTGGAGATTTATGGAGACCCATTGGCTGGAGATGTGATCTGAGCCTGCTGGGACAGGCACCGCCGCGTCCTGGGGCTGGTGCACGGTAAATCTTCTGCCCCGGTTCTTATTTCGGCTCTGTCAGCTCTCCTGCCCATCAGGGGGTTTGATCAACCCTCGTTAGAGCAGAATTAATATCCCCCTGTGCAGGGTAGGGGTTGAATGGAGTCTGGCTGCCCTTAGCAATGCGATGGAGCTCTGCAGCCCCGGGAGCCGCAGTGTCAGGAGCACCGTGCTAAGCCGGGGAGCCCTAAAAACCGGGGAGAGCTGGCTCGGCACACAGCCCTGCGGCTACTGCACAGCCCTGTGGCTGCCGCACGCCCCGGCCATGGAGGCTGCTAACACCGCCAAGCTGTCCTGGGAGCTCTTGTGGGGGTGCTGGTGAAGGATTTGTATCGTAGCTCGTGCGTTTTAACTCTTATCTCTTTCCTTTGACACCAACCAGAAAAGAAATGAAATTGTGGTGCTCCTATATTTTAATTAGTCCGTTAGCATTGCTAAATAAAATAAATCTTGCAGGCAGAGGCGCTTGCTGAAGCGCGAACTTTCATTTCTCGTTCTTGGCCGGGGCTGCGCAAAATTATTTCTCCTGCCCTCCGAGGAGGCAATTTTAAACTGCTTCTCATCGCCCGACCCCGGCTCCTTCTGCAGGACTCGCTCCCTCTGCCGCCGGGGGGGGCGGGGGGCTGCGCCTGGGCTGGGGACGTGGCACGGAGCGAGGGCGAAGGTTTGGGAAGAGGATCCAGGAGGGGAGGGAAGAGGGGAGCCGGCAGGTAATTAATGGGGTGGGATGATAGATGGTAGGAAAAGGATATTTAGACTCAGGAGGGGGATCAGCTGATTTAAAATTAAGCCTTGTCTCTCTTTCCAGGTGAATTGAAATTAAAGTGAACAGCGCGGGGAGCTGGAATAGGAACCTGGGGAGACCCATGAGTCAGCACCTTGCAGGATTGGGGGTACGGTGTGTGTCCTCCCCCCGGGGTGGCTGTAACAGCCTCCAAAGGACAACAGGACACTCCATCCAAAAAGGATGCTGAGCCTGCAGCAGGATCCGTCCTGCTCAAGGGAAGGCAGTGCAAAACCTGGACCATCTCCCACCAGCGTCGAGGCCAGAACCAGCCCTGACGGGCTCTCCTGTCCCAGTCCAAAGCCTCCCCAATTTCGCCTCTCCACGCGGGGGGGGCGGGGGGCTGCGCCTGGGCTGGGGACGTGGCACGGAGCGAGGGCGAAGGTTTGGGAAGAGGATCCAGGAGGGGAGGGAAGAGGGGAGCCGGCAGGTAATTAATGGGGTGGGATGATAGATGGTAGGAAAAGGATATTTAGACTCAGGAGGGGGATCAGCTGATTTAAAATTAAGCCTTGTCTCTCTTTCCAGGTGAATTGAAATTAAAGTGAACAGCGCGGGGAGCTGGAATAGGAACCTGGGGAGACCCATGAGTCAGCACCTTGCAGGATTGGGGGTACGGTGTGTGTCCCCCCCCGGGGTGGCTGTAACAGCCTCCAAAGGACAACAGGACACTCCATCCAAAAAGGATGCTGAGCCTGCAGCAGGATCCGTCCTGCTCAAGGGAAGGCAGTGCAAAACCTGGACCAGCTCCCACCAGCGTCGAGGCCAGAACCAGCCCTGACGGGCTCTCCTGTCCCAGTCCAAAGCCTCCCCAATTTCGCCTCTCCACGCAGGGAGCAGAGCCCAGGAGAGGTGTCTCAGGGACGTGGTGCTGGGGACACGGCTGTGATGGGGCACAAACCTGGATGGGGACAGGGGCTGCACCGCCCTGGTGGGACGCAGGGGCAGGAGCTGGAGAGACAGCCCTCCGCCATCAGATATCACAAAGCCTGGGCAACAAACGCCGGTAATTAGACTCACCCAGAAGTAATTATATTTTTTCCACTCCACTGAACTCTAAAAAGTAATTAATAGGGGATAGAAGTTGACTTGGGGGGGGGGGTTAAAAGTTTGGAGACAGCAGCACAGAGGGCGGTTCATCCTCCCATGAGCTGCGACGGCAAACTTGGATGACGACACCGTGTCCCCAACATGACACAAAGCGCAGAACCTCCCCCCCATTTCACAGGTGGGGAAACTGAGGCACAGCAGGGGGCTGATTGCCCAAAGCCCCTCATGAGGCCAAACCCCCCCCCCTTTTTTTTTAATTTGTCATGTTAAACTAAGGACCACCAGGTCTGTCTCTCGGAGAAAACAGCAAAAGGCACACACAAAAATAAAGCAAAAGTCCAAATGGCTGAGAAAAACAACTCCAGGTTAAGGAAGCGATTTCTTGAGACACTGTTTGGAGTTTTATTGGCAACAAGGCTCTGCCTTTCACATGCTCGGCCCCGGCCTCGCGGCCCACTGCCTTTTCCCCACCGGGAACAGCAACAGAAAGCGGAGGAATCGGGAACCTCTGCACCCTGCCGCGCCAGCCCACATCGCCCCACGCCCTTAAAACCTTCACGATTGGTTTGATTTTTGATTTAAAAGCAGAGGGGGGGGCGAGGCCAGCCCGGTCCTTGCTGGCCCTGCGGGAGAAGCCCCGGGAGGACGTGGCCGCAGGGCTGGGCAGCGCTGGGGGCAGCCAACGCCGGACTGGGGATTGTTCCTCCCCAGCAGCACCGGCACGGCTCTGCAGCACTCGGAGGGACACACGATGAGCGCGGATACCCTGTTTCCTCGACACAGCTCTCCCCTGCTTCCCGCTGGCAGCTCCCATCTCCCTTTAAACGCCCAAATCCTCTTTGCAGGGGAAGCCTCGAGATACGTATTTCTATCGCATCTCTTCCTGGCAGATCCAACACTGCAAAAAACACGTTAGGGCAGAAATCCCTGCGGCTCCGAAATGGCCCCCCCGCACCTCCGGAGGGGTTCAAAGCCCTACGCCGCCGTACCCAAGCATCCTTCCCTGGTGTGGAGAGGATGGGGAGAACAAGGGGTGCACGTTATAAATATAAAATCATTATCTGCTACAAACAGAAGACGTATATTGTACATCTTTGACCCATATACACAAGAACACAATATACACAGAACGCCTCGGAGGAGCGGGGGCTTCGCGAGGGGGTTTTGGGAGATGCCGCTCCACTGCCAGCCCCCTCCCCCCCGCGCCTCCCCTCCGCGCTGGAGGGGGCTGTACTGACAGCACATCAGTCACCAAAAGTCCCGTCAAGCCGGCACGCATCATTCGAACCACGCGTGGATGGAGCTGCGTCCTCCCCGCCGGGCTCGGGAGAGGAGGGAGAGAAGGAGAGAGGGCAGGCGCGAGGGGCTCTCTCGCAAACCCACAAAGTGCTTGGGGTCTCCGGACCCTGGGAGCGAAGCGAGGCCCTGAGAGAAACTTCTTGCCCTGCTGCACTCGGGGGAAGGATTTTCCGGCCAGGCGGGTCTCTGATAAGGCATTTTCATCCGGGAGTTGGAGTGAACAGTGGCGGAAGGGAGCAGACGCGGCAGCGCAGGTGGTGGGAGGTTAACACAAGGCAGCGAAGCCAAGGTGGTCCCAGTGGGACAAGCCCAGGGCAGGGGATGGAGAGGACAGGAGGGCTTCGTCCTCGGCTCAGTTTATCTGTAAAGCTGCCCCCCATGTGCTCCCCCAGCCCCTTCACGCCTCTCTCCCTGGCTCGAGCCACCGGCGCGGCGTGAAATACTGACGGTGGTTGGAGTGGCACATCCAGGCGTATGGAGTGGCAGACAGGCACACGTTAAAAGAGTTAAGACAAGAGTCGATGTGAGCTTTGTACAGCGAGGAGCAGCTCCCAGCCGGAGTGTCCGAGGACTTGGGACGACAAAAATGCCACAGTGATCAGATCGGGCCAGGACGAGGAGGTGGGCACGGGGGAGAGGAGGGAGTCGAGTCCTGGCACCTATCGGCGGTAATGATTGGGGGCGTCTGCAAACATGTACTTGAGTCTGTAGGCTTCAGCGAGCAGGAGTCCGATTTCTTCGTTACCCCAGTGTATCGTGGGCAGGTTTTGTAACAACATCAGAAGGCCCTGAAAGAGGGGAAGGTGCTTAATTTGGGGCGGTTGAAGGTGGAGTACAGATCCAAAGCAGGCTCGGGGCCAGCATGACCAGAGGCAGCAGCACTCGCTAACTTTCGCTCACGGCGCTCGCAGCTCTGGAAAGCTCAGAGACAGCATTAAGATGTGCTCGTGCGTAGATGTGAATCAGTGGAGCACCTGAGATGCCTCCACACCTCTTGAGATCAAGGGTGCTACCATAGTTACAGCCGGACACCAGAAGGCAAACACAAAGGGACTTACCGTGATCAAAGCTCAAGCCCAGGGAAGAGCTGGCATTTGATGTTAGCACCCTCCAGCAGCCCAGTTCTCTGTCCTGAGCGCTGAGGCTCAGAAGTTACTTTTAGGCAAAGATCCTGAGACTCTTTGAGCCAGCTTTGAGACACTGCTTGACTGTGTCCATGCCAGAATCCCAACCAGAGCAATTCCCTCCCCTCTACCCCCAGGGAATTATTCCCAATCCCAAGGACTTACTTGGAAGTCTTCCTCATCTAGGATCTCCTTTCGCCACTTGATCAAGAAGGCGGCGCAGACGTACAGGTGGAAATGTGAGAATCCTTCTGGCTCCGACTGCGGACAACAAAACTCCAGGTCAGCTCCTGCAGCTCGGCTGGAGCACGACTTCCCTGCTCACAGATGTCCTACCGGGCCACCCATCACCCAACTGGCTACAAATGTCCCAGGGCCACACTGCTTTGCTTCCTTCATCTCCTCAGCTGCAGGAGGGTGCCAGAAGACCTCCATCCCCCCATCTACAGGGAACTGGCCCCACGGTGACCCGCCAAGCTGGTGGGACCTTGCGTACCTGGTAGGTGTCCCAGAGACGGATGGTGCAGCGAAGAGGCAGCTCCCTCATAAGCAGATTGTTCATCCAGCGAAAGGCAAACTGCAGGTATTCGACCTCGTACCTCCTAAAGTGATTATGTACCTGTTCTGAAACAGCACATTTCACTTACATACCTGGAGACCACGGTGCCCCAAGCTCCCGCACGTGGCACTGCCCCCAACACACCGGCTTTCACACTCTTTCAGGCTGTGACCTTGTTCTCCAAAATGCCTCCACTCCTCACCCTGTCCTACCTGGCCAGAAAAATCCCATCCCCAGGGCTTTCTGGCAGACCCTACCCTGCCCTGCTTCCATACGTGTTGCAGGCAAGCGTCTACCCCTGCCCTGAGGGTACTACGTGCAAATGGGACCTCTCACTGTTGTGAGGAAAGAGCCTCCAACCTGCTCAGATGCCCTTGTCACCTACCATCGATCCGGCTGACTAGCTCCTCCAGGGCTTTGACTTTCTTCTGGATCCCCGGCTGTGCAAAAGTGTAGTTATCCTGTAGGGAGAGGCCACGAGTCAGAAGCAGTTGCTCTAACAACAGCTAGAAATGATCAAAAACAGATCCACAGCTTCACAGGGAGCCAAGATCACCATGAGCCACAGAGACATGGCTCTTGAGCACCGGGATCTGCCCGCTGTGAAGTCCCTAGTCAGGACAGCGCCGGCTGGAAAGCTGCAGCATCTTATTTCCTCAGGATTTTACCCCCAGATTTAGCTCAGTGAAGCAGCAAAACCTCCCTGATGCCAGGACATGCAGAGCACTCACCCAAACACAGAGAGAAGACGACTGCACTGCTGCCCCAGCAAGGGGAGGGAAACCTCTGTGGCCCCAGAGGAGGCTCACCTGTATCCCGTCCAGCAGTTTGCTCATGCACCAGAAGCTGTCGGCTTCGATGCTCCGTAAAACATCCTGCGACAGGTTCGTCACGTCAAAGTTCTCCACGTCCTCCTCTGCAAAACAGAGAGGGAAGAGCATCAGGAGGACAGGGGACACCCAGGAGGCTCATGTGACACACCAAGAGGCTTTATCAAGCCAAGGCAGGGCAAGAGGCACCGCGAGGCTCTGCATGACGTGAGTGGTCTGGCTGGCACAGAGCGCAGCCCCCATGCACTGACCTACTTCTCCAACCCAGGTGAAGGGTTGAAGGACCCCAAAAGACTCAGCAGCCACGATGTGAACCCAGCCCAGCTCCCCAGGGGACCGCAGGATGGATCCTACAGCTCTGCCACTGTTGTCACCCCGCTGGGGTGAGGGATGTGCGGGGACAAATCCCCAGGAATGTGGGACCCCTCTTGCTGGAGCCCATCCTGCCCTGGGTGACAGCAGGTCTCTGCCAGCTGGTGGCACCATAGGGAGAACCTGAAGAGGTGAATCCCTCACTGCAGCCAGAAACCAGGGAAGAAGATGCTGCCCTTGGCCTGGGGTAGCACAAGGGAACTCAGTTCCCATGCCCAGTAGGATTCATCGGCATCATCCCAGGACTGAAGCACAACAGAGGCACTCAAAAAGCAGCTGCCAACTTTGAGGACCCATGAGGAAGAACTGCCAAAGCCTCAGAAACCTCTACAAGAGAGCAGAACCCTCAGGCACAGTTGCAAGGACCCAAAAGTGCACAAACATCTTCCTGGAGGAAAAAGACTCAGTTAAATCCAGCACGGAGCCTGACGGCAGGGCAACACGGCCGAGAGACTGCTCAGCTTCGTAGAGCTTCTCCTCCTCCTCGAGCCTGGCTGGCAGGAGAGCTCCAGCAAACAGAAACAACCCCGTGCACAGAAGAGCCTTGAAAAAGATTTGTTTCTCAAACCCGGTGAACTGTGGATCTGAGAGCACAAGGGGTAGCGGCAGCTCTGTCCCCAAAGGGTACTCACAGAGTGCAAAAGGCTGCCCTTGCTTTTAAAGGGGCTTAGGGACCCCCAGGAAGGGCAGAGGACTCGCAGGTGGCACGGCGGTGATGCTGGCTGTGTTTGGAGCGGAGATCGCCTGCTCCAGGCCAGGCTCACCTTAACCCAGAGGCTGTAGAGGGCAACAGGCACGGGAAGACAGTGGAAGCTGGGCAGGAGACGCTCAGGAGACACAGGTCTGGCCCTCCTGGCTTGGCTGACCCAGCAGCTCCCTCCCTTTCCTTCTCAGGAGGAGAGAGCCCGTCACGCTGCTGTCATGCCGCTAAATCACATCAACAGATGCCAGGGCTAAACTGGCCCATTTCCAAACCCAGAGGCTCAGAAATCCTAACGAGCGTCTTTGATCTTCCTTGGAAAAGAGCAAGAGAGGAACAGGACGGGGCTCGGGGCTGGAGCCGGGCCACCCTCTTGGCTGAGATGTGCCGCAGGGCAGCTGTCGCAGGCTGGCAGCGCTCCGAAAACCAACGTGAACAGATCCTGACCGCAGGAGGATGGAAAGTGCAGAGCCAGTGACTCCAACACTGCTCCCACCTCTGCCCCTTCTCTGCGCCAGAGCTCAGCTCCAGAGCAAACTGTCACCGGGAGCTTTAGGGACACGCAAGGGCTTTACCCTGCGTTAATCTGGCAATCTTGTACTGCAGAAAGAGCAGCAAAGCTGTTTTCCAGCTGCAGATCGTCATCAAAAACTATCACTCTTCTGCTGGCTTCTCTGCAGCCACTCTCAAATGTTCCAGGTGATGAGAAAGGCAAAATCTTTCATACCTATCCCCTTCCCTCAGTAACATCCCCCACAGAGGATGGGGGGGCAAAGGAGTGGGACGAGGCCACACGCGCACGGTCAGGAGTGGTGGAAGAGGCAGGCTCGGCCACCCAGGAATGAGCCTCGTGCAGAAGACCTCCCCACGCAGCTCCAGGCATGAGGACCACGATGGAGAAGGGGATGTGGTGACCTGCCCAGGTGATGGGGAACACTTTGCTGGGGACAAGAGGAGCAACCCTGCCAGCACCCCGGTGTCAAAGCAGAGCAGCGGTAGGAGATCCCCAGCATGAGCCAACACGCATTGCAAGAAGCTTTGAAAAAACCCAGGTCTCTGGAGTGTGTGGCTCAGCACAAACATCTGCTCAGCGGCACCATTAAAGAGGCTCCATGGAAAGGAGTGAGATACTCAACATATGGCTCCGACAGGGACTGAAAAGGAGCCGGCGGCACGGTGACAGCCGCCTGCGGCTGGGCTGGGGGCAGCCAGGACACCGCTGCCAGTGTCGCAGCGTGCCCAAGGGCAGCTGGGGCTCGGGGAAGGCAAAGCTCCCGAGTGACATTTCGACAGGACTCAGGGCGGACACAGGAGAAGGAGCATCACAGTCCCACTCGAACCCCCGCTTCAAATGCCAGGCAGGGCACAGCTCGGAGCAGATCAGAGGAGTCAGGCTCCAGCATCAAAAAAAACCTGCTGTCAGGGAGCTTTTATCACTCCCCATATTCTGGCAGGTGGGGCTCAGTGCAGGACTAGACGCCTGGAGAACAGTTAAACCCCGTCTCAACTCACAGCTCAGCACAGTAACGGGCGAATCTGCACCGCGTGCAGTGAGCGACAGGTCCAGGGAAAAACCGGAGTTCAGAACAAGGCTGATGGTACAGCCCGAGCTGGGGCAGCCACGGTAACACCCAGGTACAAGGCTCCCTTTCCCTTCATTCAAGCTCCACTTCTGCTCCTGCTTACAGAGAAAAAGTCTGAATTTAACCGTCATTAGGATGTAGTAATAAAGCCAGTTAGGAATGAGCAAGATCAGTACCTCCTATGGCACTGCTCCCCTCTACAGACCTGGTGAAATGCAAAACAGGTCCCAAAGCCAGGACAACCCCTTTTCAAGGTCTTGAATGAGGGATGGAAGTGGTGTCACACACTGGGAGAGGGCGCAGGGGCCAGCGCTGACACTACCCGGGGGTGCTGAGCTCACTTCTGAGCTCTGTTATTGCTATTTTATATGCTACCACAAGCCATGAGAGCCGGGAGTGACCCAGTGCAGCAGGAGGGGCTGTGGGACCTGAACTGGGAGACAGTTTTAGCAGGACTATCAGCTCAGCACCCCTGTGCTCTCTCTGACCAGCGGGAAAAAAGGGCATATGGTTTCCTCCGGCCGAGGTGTCATCCCTGCCCCAATTCCCCGGATGCCAGGCTGCCCCTCTCCATCCTCACCGCTCGAACTCTGTCTCCCCAGCGGCACTGGCAGGCCGCGCCCATCCCGTCCGCAGGGCGGCAGG